CAGATTTTGAGCGGATTTCTGGCTGTACCCCCTCTTCCTGACAGATTTTCTGGGGCCCCAGCCAGTTCAGACCCCCCGGCCGCCTCCAGGCATAGTGCTTGCTGAGGTCATAGCCAGGCGTGCTCGGGTAGGGCCTAGGGCTTCGGTATTGTTTTTTCGCGGATCCCAGGGGATCCCTCGGGTCGGACCTGAGGGGTGGCCCTCACGTCGAAGAAGAATGAAAGGCTCTTTCTCGGACATGGCGGGAGTTTCGGCACACCCCTCATACGTTTCGTGCCTCCACAGGGATCTTCACCGAAGGCCTCAGTGGCTGCGTTTGCATGCAGTTCCGCCCCGCATCTGGGCACACCACTCACACGTTTCGTGGCCCCATTGGGAGCTCCACCGAAGGCCCTAGTTGCAGGTTTCGCGTGCGGTTGCACCCCCCAATTTCACTGCACCCACCGAAGGCCCCAGTGGTGAGGTTCGCATGCGGTTCCACCCCAACATTTGTGCACACTTCTCACACGTTTCGTGGCCCCAGAGGGAGCTATACCGAAGGCCGCAGTGGCAGGGTTGGTATGTTCTACCCCGCATTCCGGCGCACAGTTCACACGCTGCGTGGCCCTGTAGGGATCTTCACCGAAGGCCCCAGGGGCTGCGTTCGCATGCAGTCCTGCCCGCCCATCTAGGCACACCATCCACACGTTTCGTGGCCCCATTGCGAGCTCCACCGAAGGCCCTGAGTGGCTGCGTTCGCATGCGGTACTATTTCCATTTCGGCGCACACCTCATGCGTTTCGTGGCCCCATAGAGAGCTCCCTCACTTTGTGGACACCGAAGGCCGCAGTGGCGAGGTTGGCATGCTGTTCCACCTCCATTTCGGCGCACCCCTCACACGTTTCGTGACCCGACAGGGAGCTCCACCGAAGGCCGAAGTGGTAGGGCTGACATGCTGTTCAACCTCAATTTTGGCGCACTTCTCACACGTGGAGCTTCACAGAAGGCCGCAGTGGCAGGGTTCGCATGCCGTTCCATTTTCCATTTCGGCGCACCCACCGAAGGCCCCAGTGGCAGGGTTCGCTTGCGGTTCCACCCCAAAATCTCTGCACACCCCTCACACGAATCGTGCCCACATGGGGAGCTCCACCGAAGGCCCCATTTCGCCACGCCACTCACGCGGTTCGTGGCCGCCTGGGGAGCTTCGCCGACGACGCATTCACCAGTGCACATGGCTGGGTCCTTCGCCACGGTGCCTGAAGGGCTTCGAGCCCCAGGCTGCTTCCAATCAGCTGCACCTCGCCCAGGGCGTCCCGTGGGGTGCCAGGGTCGTCCGGGACCGCCGCCCGAGCCCCGAGGCAGGACCCGAGAGCCGCAGCGGCCCCCCCCCACTCGGCGGCAGCGGCAGGGAGGCGCCTGGCCCCCGGGGGGGCAGACGCCGAGCCCCACCGCGGCCCCGGCGCCCCCCGCCGTGGCCGCCCGTGCCCGGCAGGAGGTGCTGGGCTGGGTGCACGCGCACCGGCTTGCGCTCGGCCTGCGCGCTGCGGAGGCCGCGGCGGAGGCCGGGCTCGTCGTCGTCGTCGTCGCCGTCGTCGTCGGCGCCGCCGTCGTCGCCTCTGCCGTCGTAGTCGCCGTCGACGTCGTCGATGCCGTCGTCGAGCCTCGTTGCCGTCGTCGTCGTTTCCGGCGTCGGCGTCGGCGTCGGCGTCGGCGTCGGCGTCGTCGTCGTTGTCGCCGCCGTCGTCGTCGTCGCAGTCGTCGAGTCTCGTCGCCGTTGTCGCCGTCGTCGCCATTGTCGTCGTAGTCGCCGTGGTCGTCGTAGTCGTCGCCGCCGTCGAGATTCGAGGATCGTCGCCGTCGCCGCCACTGCCGTCGTCGTCGCCGTTGTCGCCGCCGCCGCTGCTGTCATCGTCGCCTGGGCTGGCGCCAGGCCTGGCGCTGCAAAAGGGGCAGCGGCACGTGTCCCGTCGCCGTCGCCGTCGCCCTTGCCCAGGCTCGAGGATCGGGATCTTCACCTCACACTTTAATCGTTCTGCATCTGTTTGGCGTCGCTGTCGCCGAGGCTTGAGGATCTGGCCCTTCACTTCACGCTCCTTAGCCCACTGCTCATGTTTGGTCCCGGGAGCCGTCAACGTCGCCGTCGCCGTCAGTGCCGCCGCCTCCGTGCCGTGACATCCGCTGATCTGTGTTTTACAGCCTGCGGTCCCATGGCTCCCGACCGCTTCACCTGGGGGTACTCTTTTTTGCCCTGGAGTCCTGGGCGCATTTTTGCCGGCCCCAGGGCCCGATGGCAGCCCCCAGAGGGCCGAGATCGAAACAAACGACGGGATTGCAAACTCATCTCGTCGGAGATCTCGGTCGTCCCTGGAACCATACGTCGCGAAGCAATGGAACAGGCAATGAAACATTGCCAATCCTCACGACCAGAGCCCTAGAGCCTATCTCTCTTCTGCGTTTTTCGAGCCCGATCGATTTTTTGATTGCCCTGGGGGCCCGAAGCCGGGCGGAAACGCCACGTGTGGAAATTAACAGGAGCGGAGAGTGAATGAACAAAGTCATACAGTATCGTCGGAGACCAAGGACGTCGTCGCCTTTCGTCGTCGGCGTCGGCGTCGGCGTCGTCGCCAGAGTCGTCGGAGTCGTCGGAGTCGTCGTCGGCGTCGGCGTCGGCGTGCGCGTCGGCGTCGTCGTCGTCGTCGTCGTCGGCGTCGTCGTCGGCGTCGGCGTCGGCGTCGGCGTCGGCGTCGGCGTCGGCGTCGGCGTCGGCGTCGGCGTCGGCGGCTTCGGCGGCGTCGGCGTCGGCGCGGGCGTCGCCGCCTCCGCCGCCGCCGCAGTCGTCGGCGTCGTCGTCATCGTCGTCGTCCTCGGAGTCGTAGTCGGAGTCGTCTTCGTCGGAGTCGTCGGAGTCGCAGTCGCAGTCGCAGTCGGAGTCGGAATCGGCGTCGTCGTCGTCGTCGTCGGCGTCATCGTCGGCGTCGGCGTCGGCGTCGTCGTCGTCGGCGTCGGCGTCGTCGTCGTTGTCGTCGCAGTCGGCGTTGGCGTCGTCGGCGTCGTTGTCGTCGGCGTCGGCGGCGGCGGGGGCGTCGGCGTCGTCGTCGTTGGCTTCGTCGTCGTCGCCGTCTTTGGCGTCGGCGTCGATGTTGTCGTCGGAGTCGGAGTCGGAGTCGGAGTCGTTGTCGCCGCCGCCGGCGTCGTCGCCGGCGTCGTCGTCGTCGTCGTAGTTGTCGTCACCGCCGCCGGCGTCGTCGTCGTCGCCGCCGTCGTCGGCCGTCGGCGTCGGCGTCCGGGATCGGCTTCGCGTCGGCTCGGCGTCCGCGCCCGCGCCGCCGCCGCCGCCGACGCCGCCGCCGCCGCCGCCGCCGCCGCCGCCCGCGCCGCCGCCGCCGCCGCCGCCGCCGCCCCGCCCCGCCGCCGCCGCCAGCGCCGCCGCCTGCCGTCTTCGTTCGTCGTCGTCGTCGTCGTCGTCGTCGTCGTCGTCAGTCGTCTTCGTCGTCGGTCGTCGTCGTCGTCGTCGTCGTCAGTCGTCGTCGTCCTCGGAGTCGTAGTCGGAGTCGTCTTCGTCGGAGTCGTCGGAGTCGCAGTCGCAGTCGCAGTCGGAGTCGGAATCGGCGTCAGCGTCGTCGTCGTCGTCGTCGTCGTCGGCGTCATCGTCGGCGTCGGCGTCGTCGTCGTCGGCGTCGGCGTCGTCGTCGTTGTCGTCGCAGTCGGCGTTGGTGTCGTCGGCGTCGTTGTCGTCGGCGTCGGCGGCGGCGGGGGCGTCGGCGTCGTCGTCGTTGGCTTCGTCGTCGTCGCCGTCTTTGGCGTCGGCGTCGTTGTTGTCGTCGGAGTCGGAGTCGGAGTCGGAGTCGTCGTCGCCGCCGCCGGCGTCGTCGCCGGCGTCGTCGTCGTCGTAGTTGTCGTCACGCGCCGGCGTCGTCGTCGTCGCCGCGTCGTCGTCGTCGGCGTCGGCGTCGGCGTCGGCGTGGCGTCGGCGTCGGCGTCCGGGCGCGGCCGCCGCGCCGCCGGCCGCCGCCGCCGCCGCGCCGCCGCCGCCGCGCGCCGCCGCCGCCGCCGCCGCCGCCGCCGTCGTCGTCGTCGTCGTCGTCGTCGTCGTCGTCGTCGTCGTCGTCGTCGTCGTCGTCGTCGTCGTCGTCGTCGTCGTCGTCATCGGCTTCGTCGTCGTCGCCGACATCGTCGTTGTCGTCGTCTTTGTTGTCGTCGTCGTCCTCGGAGTCGTCGGAGTCGTTGTCTTCGTTATCGTCGTCGTCGTCGTCGGCGTCGGCGTCGTCGTCGTCGTCGTCGACGGAAGCGTCGTCTACGTTTTCGTCGTTTTCGTCGCCGCTGCCGCCGCCGCCGTCGTCGTCGGCGTCGGAGTCGGAGTCGGCGTCGGCGTCGGCGTCGGCGTCGGCGTCGCGCGTCGCCTTCGCCGTCGCCGTCGACGTCGGCGTCGGTGTCGGCGTCGTCGTGGGCGTCGTCGTCGGCGTCAGCGTCGGCGTCGACGTCGTCGCCGTCGTCTTCGTCTTCGTCTTCGGCGTCGTCGTTGTCGCCGTCGTCGACGTCGTCGTCGTCGTCGCCGTCGTCTTCGTCGTCGTCGCCGTGGACGTCGTCGTAGTCGCCGCCGCCGCCGCCGCCGCCGCCGTCGTCGTCGTCGTCGTCGTCGTCGTCGTCGTCGTCGTCGTCGTCGTCGTCGTCGTCGTCGTCGTCGGCGTCGGCGTCGGAGTCGTCGGAGTCGTCGGAGTCGTCGGAGATGTCGCAGTCGGAGTCGTTGCCGTCGTCGTCGTCGTCGTCGTCGTCGTCGTCGTCGTCGTCGTCGTCGTCGTCGTCGTCGTCCTTGTTGCCGTCGCCGTCGCCATTTCCGTCGCCGCCGTCGGCGTCGGCGTCGGCGTCAGCGTCGTCGTCGTCGTCGTCGTCGGCGTCGGCGTCGGCGTCGGCGTCGGCGTGGTCTTGGTCGTCGGCGTCGGCGTCCGCATCGTCATCGGCATCGGTGTCGTCGTCCTCGGGATCGGCGTCAGCGTCGGCGTAGGCATCGCCATCGGCGTCGGCATCGGTGTCATCGTCGTCGTCGTCGTCGTCGTCGTCGGCGTCGGGTCGGTGTCGGCGTCGGCTTCGGCGTCGGCAACCGCGCCGCCGCCGCTGCCGTCGTCGTCGCTGGAGTCGTCGTCGCCGTTGTCGTCGTCGTCGGAGTCGTCGGAGTCGTGGTCTTCGTCGTTGTCGTAGTCGGCGTCGGCCGTCGGCCGTCGGCCGTCGGCGTCGGCGTCGGCGTCGGCGTTGGGTTGGCGTCGTCGTCGGCGTCGGGGAGGAGGAGGGAGGGGGCGAGGAGGAAGAGGAAGGGGGCGAGGAGGGAGGAGGAGGGCGAGGAGCAGGGGGAGGAGGACTTTGGAGTCGGAGGGGAGGAGGAGGAGGAGGAGGAGGAGGAAGAGGAGGAGGAGGAGGAGCAGGAGGAGGAGCAGGAGGAGGAGGAGCAGGAGGAGGAGGAGGAGGAGGAGGAGGAGGAGGAGGAGGAGCTGCCGCCGCCATCGGAGTTGGCGCTGCCGCCGCCGCCGGCGCCGCCGCCGCCACCACCACCGCCGCCGTCGTCGTCGTCGTCGTCGTCGTCGTCGTCGTCGTCGTCGTCGTCGCCGTCGTCGTCGTCGTCGCCGCCGTCGGCGTCGGCGTCGGCGTCGGCGTCGTCGTCGTCGTCGTCGTCGTCAGCGTCGCCGGCGTCGTCGTGGTCGTCGGCGTCGGAGCCGGAGTCGTAGTCGGATACGGAGTCGGCGTCGTCGTCGTCGTCGCCGTCGACGTCGTCGTCGTCGCCGTCGGCGTCGGCGTCGTCGTCGGCGTCTGCGTCGGCGTCGTCGTCGGCGTCGGCGTCGGCCTCGGCACCGTCGCCGTCGTCGCTGTCTGCGTCGTCGTCGGAGTCGGCGTCGTCGTCGGCGTCGGCGTCGGCGCCCGCGCCGCCGCCGCCGCCGCCGCTGTTGCCGTGGTCGTCGTTGTCGTCGTGGGAGGAGAAGGAGGAGGAAGTGGAGGGGGAGGAGGAAGAGGAAAGGGGCGAGGAGGGAGGAGGGCGAGCAGCAGGAGGAGGAGGACTTGGGAGTCGGAGGGGAGGAGGAGGAGGAGGAGGAGGAGGAGGAGGAGGAGGAGGAGGACGAGGAGGAGGAGGACGAGGAGGAGGAGGAGAGGAGGAGGAGGGGGAGGAGGAGGAGGAGGAGGAGGAGGAGGAGGAGGACGAGGACGAGGAGGAGGAAGAGGAGGAGGAGTGGAGTGGAGTGGACACCGCAGCGCAGCAGGTTCAATGCTTCACGTAGGCCTAGGAGGAGGACGACGACGACGAGGACGAGGACGAGGGATGAAGACTAGGGCGGAGGGGAAGGAGGAGGAGGAGGAGAAGGAGGAGGACGATGATGGAAGGAGGCAAGGTGAGGAGTGGAGGGCTGAGTTTTGGGATTGTCCTTGCTGGAGGTGGGCAAGCTCGACGCGGGCCCCGGCGGCACCGCGGCGCAGTTGCTGTTCCAGCTGACCCCGGCGGGCGCCCAGCGCGGCGGCGGCCCCCCGGGGTCGCAGAGGCCCGCGGAGCAGGCGGTGGACTTCTCGGGCGTGCTGGAGAGGCGCTCCGCCTCCCCCCCTCTTGCTGTTCCTCGCCCACCTCTCCTCGGAGGAGGAAGATGTTACCGATAATACCGTGGCCCGCCACCCTTGCCTGGCCCCGACTTTCTGGGGCTCCTGAGAGGCCCTCGTCGCCACGGCTGGACTCGCTCCGATGATACCGAAGAGCTCTCAAGCTGTGATTGCGCAATGTTTCCGCCCGGCTCTTGGACGTGCCCTCCGACTTCTAGACTCGAGCTTCGGCGGCTACGGTTCGCAACACAGTCACGCAATGATTCGTTCATGAATACTTGCATACCTGCAGCAACTCATGCAAAGCATGTCAATAGCGAGCTGCAGCGGCAACGATGCTCGGCTCAAGTGTGGCCACACGTGAGCCGAGCATCGTCGTTTGTTTATCACACTTGATCCGAGCATCGTTTTTATCACACATGAGGAGAGCAGCCGTCTCGGTGCCTTTTGGTCTGCGCACTTGTTGCTCCTCGTCCCCCGCCGCCCCCCGCCCTCTCAACCTCGGAGCGGCGAGGATTCATAGAGTCGAGTCTGATATGTAGGCCGACCCTGCCAAATCAACTCAAGGGTGCCCTGGTTTCCTCTGTTTCGCGACCCATGCCATCTACATTCCTGTGGCAATGTGGCCCTCGGAAAAGGTCTTGTGTCCTCTCGCGTGTCCTCTCCAATCAGCCCCGACTGTACGCTACGGTAGGCCCACCAAACAAGAGGCCAGCCTGTCAGCAGGCGGCCCAGGGGACTCCCTTACCCCCGAGGGCCCCGGGGGCCAGTAGAAGTCCAGGGGGAACCCCGCGAGGCTCAAGCATCGACGAAAGATGTGCCCCTGGGCTTCCTATAGCAAGATTTCTGATCGTATGTTCCTAGTGTGCTCCGCGTCGCTTGGTCAACCCCGGAGCCAAGGCGCTCGGCGAAGGATCTCGGTGCAGAGATGCTCCAGTATTCCACAGTTCTGGAAGGTAGAGCGTCTATACACCGAGGTCCTCGGCCGACCAACCGACGTGGTTGAGCCTTGCCCACACCCAGAAGCGTGCCAGATGCAAGCGTCCAGTTGGCACTGATGCGACCCAGGTGCCGATTTGTATGTCCGCCTGTTGACTTGCACTGGATGCCGAGTCCAATCCGAAGCTCTCATCCTCCTCCTTTCCCTCCTCCTGCTCCCCCCCTCCTGCTCCCCCTCCTCCTCCTCTTCCCCACGTCAAGCCGCTTTAAAAGCGGAAGTCTCGGAGGCAGGGATCCATCGAGAGCCGCCCCCACAGGGGATTGGCCGGTGGCCAGATGTAGTAGCACTGCTGTCTGGCGTTCAGTTGCAATCCCTGTTGAGCCTCTCCCCCTGTTGCTCCTCGCCCACTGACCCTCGTCACCTGCTCCTCCGTGTCCTCCGTCGACGGCGACGACGGCGCGGAGAGGCGCGGCGTTGTGCGCGTCAGACCCGACTGCCCGCTCCAGACGATCTATTGCATCTTCGAGACGTGCCCGCACGTGCAGGCGGTGGTGACCGGCGCGGCACCAAAGAAGGGGGTGCACGGCTCGCCAGGCAGGGAAGGGGTCCTGGGGCAACCGTGCCCTGGACCCCGAGGTTTTCCCCAGGACGAGCTTTTCATCCCGAGTCTTCCTTCGACGGCCACAGGGTCCCGGAAGCAAGCAGCGCGTTCCGGGGCCCCTCTCCTCCAGGGCCCGCTTCCGCCCACGCTCTAGGGCAGTCGCCATCCGCGGGCGGCCTTCTGAGAAGGCCCCATGGTGCTGTCTGCCAGGGCCTGGGGCGCATGGTTCTCGAGGGTGGCCCCTTGCGGGCAGGCCCCCCCCTCCCCCTGGGCCCCTTCGGATCCCTCTCGCTCTCTCGTAAGGCCGCCCGAGAGGGCCCTCCCGAGGAGGGGCAGAGGGCCCGCCCGAGAAGCCTCCCTGCCGCCCGAGGAGGCGCGCGCCTCGTCTCGCGCGACGAGCTCCACACACGGCCACTGCGCCCCTGGCCAGGCCCGTCCTGAGCCCAGCGGCGGTGTACACGCCCTCCTGGCCTGGCCAGGAGGGCGGGCGCGGCGTGTGCACCGCTGCTGGGTTCAGGATGGGCCTGGCCAGGGGCTCAGTGCATATGTCCGAGCATTTTCTTTGGGTGGAGGGCAAAGGGTGAAATCTGAAATGCGGTTTCGATGGATGTCGGGGGCTTGATTTTGCAAAAGGTGAATCACAAGGCGGACTGATTTTCGAGGTGCAAGAGCCCGTATGGATGTCACCCCGAGCCCTCCACCCTGTCAACATGCTCAGTATGTGCAGAGCTCGTCGCCCCGTCTTCCCCTCGTCCTCCGCACCTCCCCAGAGCCGTGCGGCAGCGGGACCGGCCTCCGAGCCTGCCGCGCGGGCGGCGCGGAGCCGGGCGGGGGTGCGCGGGCGCCTCCTCGGCGGCACGCCGAAGGGGGGGGGGGGCCTCGCGGAGGCGTGCCCGCTCTCCCGCTCGGAGTCCGCGGCCCAAGACCGCAGTGCTGCGAGAGGCTCCTCGAGAGCATCACGGGGCCGCTCGACCTGGCAGTCGAGGGGTGCCCCCCCCCCCAAAGCGGCGCGGCCGCGCCGCGGGCCGCCTGCCGCGCGGAAGGCGCGGAGGGTGCGCGCGCGGCGGCACTTCGCGCTAGCACCTGCTGCGGCGCCGAGGCCCGGGTTCAGAAGTCCGCCGACGCGCCCAGCGTACGGCCAGGGCACGACAAGTCGGGAGGGAAGAGCGGGCACAGCGCACGAGTGCTGCCGGGAACTAAGGCTCAGCGTGTCGCGCCAGACCCATACTTCTACCCCCTTGCCCGTTTTTCTCCTTTTTGGGCCTCCTTGGAGGCCCTCGTCGCCACCGCGGGGTTGGCCTCGAGATCCTGGTAAGAGCGTACCCGGGAGAGGTCCAGAGAGCAGCGGCATCGGTACCTTTTGGTTTCCCCAGCGTGCAGCCAGGCAAGAGAAAAGTCAGGAGGGAAACAAGTGGGCCCAGCACACAAAAGTGTTGTCGGGAATGTTGGCTCAGCGTGTCGCTCCGCCAGTTCTGGCCCATCGCGCCTCGCCGCGGCACGCTGTCCACTTCCCCGTCCCCGGGCGCCACCGTCCCGAGCGTTCCTGGCCCTCCCGCTCCGCCCCGCGGGGCGGAGCGGCACCACGATCGCTCGCAGAGGCACAGCGTGTCGCCGGTGCCGCCGCAGCGACACGCTAAGTCATACAGTCGGGGCCCTGAGGAAGGAGCCCTTTTCGTTGGGGAGGGGCTCCGCGTTCCTTGAGTGTTTCGCAGCTTGCCTCAGGCGTTCCTGATGTTTTCGATCGGACATCGAAGTTTAACTTTTGGAAAAAAGGGGCCTCGTTCCTTGTTTTGGGTTCCTTAGGTCAAGGCCCCGACTGTAGGTCATGGGTGTCCAAGCCTCGGTGGCGAAAAGGGGGCGTGCACGACATCCTTTGACTTCGCGGGTGGCGCTGGCGAGCGCGAAGGGGGCCGCTCGCTGCGCGTTGCCTTTCATCGGTCCCCTGGTAGTCGGCCATCATGCTTCATTCTTGCACGGACACGGAAGCCCGGCCGCGCGAACACGACATTTCTGTCGCACGAAAGCTAAATGCTAAAGTGTTCCCGCACGAACGCGGAATCACTTGCGCCCGAGCGAGGCATTATCACCACGCGGACGCGGAATGAAACACGAATTCTTGCACGAAGTCCGTCACGAAGTGCGGCACGAAATGGCGCACGGAATTGCTCGCGCGATGTGTTGCACGAATGTCTCCAGGGGTTTCTGTTTCGGGGGGGGAATCTCGCAAGCGGGGCCGGGCCGCTCGCAGACGAGTCCGGGGAAAATCAGTTTGGGTGCCTCTTCGCGCGGCCACTCCGGAGATGCGGGGAAGCATGGGACATGGAGGAGAAACGGAAGCTCCAGGGAAAGACGGCAGAACGCTGAGGATCCCGGACTCTGTGTAGGTTCACCTGGGCCCCTTGGACACGAGAAGCGCGCCAGGTCTGCAAGCAAGGCCCGAGGGTTCTCCGGCCGCACCGTGCGGCCTCTGCCCGCGCCACGTGGCCCCCGCGTCCAGGCTAAGTCAATCCCGGGGCCCGCCCCCCGGGGATGCACCCCGACCCGCTCTTCGAGGCGGCTGCAGCCGTGGCGACGAGCAGCCCCCAGTGGAGGCCCGGGAGAGAGAGGCCAGGGGAGGCTGCCGTGGCCTCGGCAAGGCCCCCCCCTCCCCTGCACCCTCTCCGAGCGAGCCTGCCCGAGGTGAGCGTGGAGGAGGCGCCCCTGGCGGTCCGCGCGCTCACCCGCTCGCTCTTCCAGTCCCACGTGCTGCCCGCCGCCGAGAGGTCCAGCCGCGCGCCCGCCGCGGCGTGGCCCGCGCGGCCGCCGCGGGCCGCGGAGTGCGGCGGGGCCTCCGCGTGCGCCGCGTGAGCGCCGGGGTGGGTTTGGATGGGGGTGGGGGGGCGCGCGGGCGGGCGCGCCGGGTGCCTCTGTCGGCTGCGCGCGGGAGCGGCCCGTCCGCGGAGGGGCCTCTGAGGCTCGAGGCGTCGGGCGCCTTCGTCGGCCCTCGGTGGCTTTCCCGGCCTCGGGGCGCGCTCCAGCAGCTGCGCCTCGCCGAGAGCGCCCCATGGGGTGCTGGGATCGTCCCCGAACGGCCGGCGGAGGGCCGGGTTGTGACCCGGAGGGGCAAGCGGGCAGCTTCAGGGAGGGATAATTCCGCTCAGGGGGGGATCGACCCCAGTGGGGCGCCCCGATCGCCGCACGCGATGCGACAGCGGCGGCGTGGGCGCTCGGGTTTGGCCGCCCCCCCTGGAGCCCCACACCAGGGGCCACCCTTGAGTGGGGTCACTCCTGCGTGCAGCCTGCTCTGATCAGGGGCAGCGACAGGGGGGGAGTGTTCTCGAGGGGGGGGGGGGAGTAGCTGGGTCCCCCGCCGGGCCGCGCGAAGATGATCGGGCTTCGCGGCGTCTCGGTCTGCGTCACCGCGCCTGCGCTTCTCCGGGGGGGCGGCGCGAGGGCGCGACGAGAGCCGCGCATCGCGGGGCGCGATGCGCGAGTTCAGGCGACCTGTGACAGCACCGACCCCCAAATGGCCCACTCCTCGCCAGTGCAGGGGCCCAGTGGCGCACCCCGCCCAGTCGCCGATCCATATCGGCGGTGTGCCGCCGTGTGGGGCTCGCTCGATCTCTCCCCCCCTGAGCTTGCGCCCCCCCCCAGTCGTGCCCCCTCGGGGTGCCTCTCAGGGCATCGATGGTCCTTGTAGCCTGGGGCACGCACGGGTTCTCGGCGCCACGGCGCGGCGGCGCCGGCGCGGGCTTTCGAGGCTGAGCTCCTTCCGGGGCGCAGCAGATCAGCGGTCCCGCAGTGGGTATTTGGGAGACCCGCCCCGCCGAAAGTTGCCGTTTTCGCGCTTCTTTCGGGCATCGCATCCTTAATTACCGCATCGGAAAGGGTTGGATTCGCCAGGTCGTTGGTCAAAGCACCCGTCAGTGGGGGGGGCGTTGGGCAAATCACCTGTGTTGCGGAGGCCACGCGTACGAAAGACGGGTCCGCAGCCTCGGGGACTTCCGAGAGCGGAGTTCGCTCAAATCTGAACGTTTTGCGCGGTGTCCGGAATTCAGAGCCGACGTCGTCGTGGCACCGACCTGCTGCTGCACAGAGAGTAGTTAGGTTTGTCTCGGTAGCTGCTGCCGATGCCATAGGAAACCTTAGCCTGGCTGTCGGTAACGAGGGAAACGTATAAGTTGACTCAGTCGTGCCCCCCTTCTGCAGTGCTTTCCCTCCCCTCATCACCACTACCATTATCATCGCCATCGTTATCGCTATGACCATCACCTTCACCACAATCATCATCATCACCGCCATCACCATCACGATCACGATCACCACCATCACCATTGGCATCATCATCGCCGTCATCATACTCACCATCACCATCACCACCACCATGTGCATCATCATCAGCATCACCATCATCATCATCATCATCATCATCATCATCATCATCATCATCATCATCATCATCAGTATCATCTCTAGCAGCATCATCATCATAAGCAACATCATCATCATCATCCTCATCATCACCAGCATCATCAGTTTCAGCATCATCATCAGCATCAGCATCAGCATCAGTATCAGCATCAGCACCATCATCCTCATCACCATCGTCATCATCATCATCTTCATCATCATCATCATCAGTTTCATCAGTACCATCATCATTATCATTATCATCGTCGTCATCATCATCATTTTCAGCAGCATTATCACCAGCAGCAGCAGCAGCGTTATGAGAACCATCACAATCAGCGTCACCATCACCATCGCCACCATCGAGTGGCTCGTGACGGCCGAGGCTGCATCAGCCGACGCCGACGCCATTGAGGACGCTGAGGCTGCATCTGCCGACGCCGAGGCTGCCTGCATCAGCCGACGCCGAGTCGGACGCCGAGTCCGACTCGGAGGAAAGTACCAACCATGCCAAGACTGCATCAGCCGGTGCGGTGGAAGACGCCGAGTCGGACTTGGAGGCTGCATCAGTCGAAGCCCCAGAGTCGGGCACCGAGTCGGCGTCGGAGGAACGTTGCAGCGAAGCCAAGGCTGCAACAGGCGAGGCGATAGAAACAATAATCATACCGACGAAGAGGGGCGCCGCCGAGAAACCTCGAGATCGAAACCGTTGGAACGATGGGACAGCACGTCAAACGCCAGATTTCCCATTCGCACGCAGACAGGCGGTCCCTACCAGTGCAGTAACACATTTTCGTGGAACGCGGCAGCTCCCGCCGCAGCTTCGTTTTGCGCCGCCCCCATGGGAAGGCACTGCCGCGCCGATTCGGGAGTAGCTGGGCCGAGGCGTGGACCCACGTCATCACTGCAACCTCTCGCGCCACGCTGAGTGCTCCGATGGCAGAAAGAGGCGGAAGCCGCTTGGAGAGAACGTCTGCGAGCGGAAGGCTCGCAGGGTGCTTTCGATTCGTGTTTTCGGGCGCGGCGCCAGCTGCCACATCCGCCGCTGCTGCAGTAGTCTTTGTGTTTGAATTTGTGGCCAGTTGAGCCATTATTGGGCGAGGGTGGGCGCTCGCGATCTCGTGGAGACAGACGGCTGATGACAGCTGGTAGCATCCGTAGTTTTGACGCTATAGCGCGGCGCGTTCCTGGGCAGCGAGCGGCCGGCCTTGGGGTCTGGTTGGCGCTGCCATCGCCCGGTGAGTGCCATGGCTCAATCAATATGCGGAGGTCTTGACGCACTGGGCATTGCAAGACTGAGGCCGTGTGCGAGCGCGATTGGGCGTCCGAGCTGCCCACCGCCGAGGGCGCCGCCCCGGCTGGCATGGGGCTCGCGCCGGCGCCCTCGGCGAGGGGCCGGCCCTCTGTCCGGCTCGGCCCCGCCGGCGAGGCCCGCCGCGGAGGCGGCCCAGCCGCCGCGGCAGCGCGGTGCGCCGCGGCCGCAGGCGGCGCCCGCGCGGCAGCGCGAGCGCTGGGCGGACGCCGCGGACGGCGTGGGCGACGCCGGCGGCGGCGCCGCGGGCTGGCTGCCTGGCGAGGGGCCAGGGCAGGCCAGCCACAGCTGGGGGAGCGGTGGTCCTCACCCCCCTGGGGGGCCCATCGATTTCGACACCCCTCTCGAGAGATCGTCGATGCGATGGGTTCCCCCAGGGGGGTAAGGACCACAGCGGGGCAGCAACGGGCGGCCCCGCCACCCAGAGGGGCCCGCTGCTCCTCTCGCAGCCGCCGGGCCCCTGCAGGGGCGCCCCGGCGGGGCGGCGCGGGTGCGCCGCCGCCCGGTGCTGGGCGTTGGGCTCCGCTAGCGCCTGCGCGGCCGCAGCGCTGCTGCGGCCCCCCCCCCCGCCGGCGGGCGACTCGCCTCGGCGGAGGCGCGTCTCGCCTTCTGTCAGCCTGCCGCGCGAGGCGCGGGCCCCAGCGGGCGGCTGAGCGCGCGCGCGGGCGCGTCGCGCCCCCCCCCCCCTCCCCTCCAGCCTCCTTCTCTCCTTCCCTGCCTTGGCCTCCTGGAAGGCAAGAAACCCGAGACCCGCACGAAGAGCGTGTCCTGCCCATGGCCTGTGGAATTGAGTTTTGAGCCAGGTCGAGCAGGTCCCGATTCACCGAATCGCAGGGGAGACAATTTTAGGAGGGGAAGAAACACACAGACACAATTAATCGTCGACTCCCCAGAAAATATGGGAAAATATGGGAAGTGGGGGGGGATGACAAAAAAACTCAGAAAATATGGGAAAATATGGGGAATATTGTTATTTGTGTGTATTTATTTGTGTGTCCCAGTTCCCCTTCACATTTGGGAGAGGAGACGTAAGCATCGCTCGAGAGGAACGCCACGAGACAAGGCCCACCCGCGAGAGCCCAGCACCCAGCGGCGAGCGCCAGAGTCCGGGGAGCCTCCCCGAAAAACACACCCACGCAGGGGCCGAGGCGGTCCCAGGGGCGGCCTGTGCCAAGCGCTCCGGATGTTCAGCCCCCGGGCCCAGGTCACTTTTTCAAAGTCCTCGCAGGACCTCGCACCCTCATGGGCTCCGTTCTACTGGGGGTCTTGGTGCTGATGTCGGCGTCTCGGCACTGCCCAGGCCGAAAGGCTGGTGCCGGCGCAGGACTGGGTAGTCGAAGGCCAAACTGGTCACTCGGGCCCAGGTCACTTTTTCAAAGTCCTCGCAGGACTGGGCAGTCGAAGGCCAGACTGTCAGACTGGATTGGGCCCCAAGGGCCAATCTGGCCTGGCCACATTGGAGGACTTGGGTGATTCGCCAGGCTGGATTCGCGTTGGATCCCTCGCCAGATTGCCCCCGTTTGCCAGATTGGGCATGCCAGATTGGCGCCAGATTGGCTTCGACTACCCAGCAGGACCTCGCACCCTCATGGGCTCCGTTCTGCTGGGGGTCTTGGTGCTGACGTCGGCGTTTCGGCACTGCCCCGGCCGACAGGCTGGTGCCAGCACCAGGGACGCCACTGGACAAGCTGGGAGCGCTTTCCCTGTGGATGCTGGTTGGGTGAGCGGGGCTTTCAAAAGCCCGAGGGCATGCCAAGGCCGAAGATCGTCGCAGGTCCCATTGAGCCCGAAGGCCGAATCTCAAGCGAATGGATCCACGTCGCGAGCGGTGTGGTTGCCATGTGCGCGAGCGCCCACTGCACCTCCCCGATCTCGCCGACGTTTTGGCGGGGGTGTCGGCGCCGGGCACGCCCTGACCACTCGAGGAGGCTGCGATGGCCACCTGAGCGACGCAGAACAACTCACCAGCCTGAGACGCGCCCCTTTTCCTACAAGTGGCATCTGTTTACATCTGTGCCGAGCTTAAAACTCCCTCAGCTTATGAACGCACATCATCAAGACAGTCATTCCCTTGGGCTTGCCTATCTTAGGGATAGGGATAATCTGGGGTCTGGTTGAACGGGCTCGACTGCGCCGACATTCTCGC